TACATACATATACTTACATACATACACACATACATACATACATACATACATACATACATACATACATACATACATACATGCATACGCGCATACGCGCATACACACACACACATTCATATATACCTATACCACGTGATGTACAGTTGTGTTGTTCCAGCTTTTCGGCCGAACTTTCGCAGTGAGATTGTTTATTGCAGGAGGTTTTCAGTCTGTGCTTACATCTGCATGCCCTTGGCAGAACATGGTTGTTGATGGCAGTTCGTGTCCAGTTGCGTGGGCTAGACGCATGACGGAGGCTATGCGTTCGTGCTACGCCTCCTAGCCGATTCTAGCCTGCCGTTACGTGCCGTTGTGTAGCGAGACCCCCGAGGATGGCACGGAAGAGAGACAGGGAGATACCACCGGAGGCCACTACGTTACCTCCACTAGCTACATAGGCGACCTTCAGCCCTTCATATAGTCCTACCGTAACGCAACGGAGCCTTGTGCCTTCATATCGGGTTTTAGGGTTTTTGGTTGAGCTCCGGTTCGTAAGTGGCATGGCAATGGTAGAGGCTAGCTCCTTTTAGGGTTTGAATGGGGTTTGCGAGGTCACACATTGTAAATGTCGGAGGACCGTGCTAAAAAGGGCCAGTGAGCCATTGGTTACGGCGTGGGTGGCAGGTTTTCCAGCGGGCTGTAGATCTGGCGGGGGGGAGCACCGCGGTTCAGAAGTTGGTGGTTCAAGTAATATAGACGGATTGTTAGATGATCACCAAGACTATTCCTGAGGGTTCTTGTTGCAATTAGAGTAGGACGTGCACCAAAACCCTGTTTTGATTAGACAGGCCTCTATATGAGGGTGCAGTGCAGACTGGGTGTTGTTATTGCCCTGCGCCAGTTTCCTTCGGTTCAGCATGATGGCCAGCGAAATTCCTAACTTAGGAGTTGGGGTTTAGGGAGGCGCCGCTTTGCAGCATTTCACCAAAGATTTTCCAGCTATATGGCAGGGGCCGTGGTTTTCCCACACGCAGACCTGCCGTCTGGATACAAGCCATCCAAGCCTTTCACTTTGGACATCCCCCGAGGTCGCAGAACAAAGGTCCGTCTTCGGATGGAACCAGCTGGCGGAGCAGGTGTCGCGTTTGGGGTCCGATTACCGACTGTTACAAGGCACTTCAACAAATCTGGTATTGCATGGGATCTCTATTATGGTATCAACATAGGCTCTTTCCATTGCTGCTGATGTTGATTATGGCGGTGGTTCGGCTGCCGTGATCTTCTGCAGTCGTCTTGTCCTTCTTGTTGTTGCCGCTGCTGTTGTCACAGTTTTTTTTGCTGTTGCTGCTGCCTTACTGACATGGCCGGGTTGTTGGATGAGGACATCTGCAATTGCTGCCGCGAGGACGTTTGAACATGACACTTATGTTGTCGTTGTTGAGGGTGATGAAGACGATGATGATGGTGGTAATTTGGATAATGCTTCCATGGGTGTTGACGACGACGACGACGATAATGGTGATGGTGATGGTGACGATATCTAGCATGTCCTCGCAATCGTCATCATCACCAGTATAAGCTCCGTTGCACTGGCACGGAATTTGGAAGAGATCTCTAGTGCATCTCGCCGTCTTCGCCGCAGTAAGTCGAAATGTTGATGGCGTTGGTGGTGCACATGGCCTCTTGACCTGAAAGGGTTGTGGGGGGGGGGGGGGTCCTGGGCAGCTTGATGCTTAACATGACGTTGAGGAGTGGCTGAGGTTTGGGATTTACAATATGTGAGCAGACTTGATTTGTGAAACTGCTCTTAGGCACGGTTTTCCTGCTCACTGCGGGACAGGAAGGAATGGAAGGAAGTTGTAACAGACGTGCATCAGCAAGCGATGGAGGGCAAGCAACTTGTTCCCGGGCTCCCAAACCCTAAACTCGGACGGCATCACCGAGAGAAACTTTGGAAGCTGTCCGGGACAGGCAAAAAAGACGCTGTGGCAGCTGGTTCTGGAGCAGTTCGACGACCTGCTGGTCCGGATCCTTCTCTTGAGCTTCAGCTGAAGAGGGGCATTTTCCCGCCTCAGGCAGTATGAAATGTTGAGTTAGGTTTTTCATAGTTCGGGAGTTCAATCCATGGGTTATGCCCGCTGTAGTTCTTAAGTCTCATTAAACCTGAAATGGGACTCTCCGAAAATTAGGGTACCTTATTCTGGGGTCCTTACAATAAGGATCCTACTATTTAGGGTAGTATATTAGGGTCCCCTATCTTCGGAAACCCCCAAATTCGAAGCGAGGTCTGCATTCGTGTCCTTCCTCCTGGCGTACTTCAACTCCGAACAGAAGGAGGAAGGCCCCAAGTGCAGGGTCCGAGCAGGTTCTGTGGCCGACCGGAATGGCTTTTATCCTGATTTACATCCTTAGAGTCCATATTATCGTAGTTTAGAAGTACCATATTTTACCTCAGACTCCTTCTCTAATCATAATCGACCTTCTATTATGTGATTCTAACACCCCAAACCCAAAACTCTAAGCCCTGAGTTTGGGACTTGGAGCCGGCAGCGTCCATCAGTTTCAGAGAGCGAGGGCCCCCCGCACCGTCATGAGAGCCGTTGGGGCGTTTAAGTGGCCTCTTCAACAGGTTTATTCGTAGACTTTGTTGAATGGTGGCCCAGGGTTGGATTAGAAACCCTAAGCCCAAAACAGTTGAGGGTTGTTCTACTAGTAGGTCTCGGTTAGAAAGGATTTAGGGTCTTTGGTGTATACGACAGGGGTGTCGATTTTCAGAGCAGGGCCTTAACGTATAGAATGATGAAACAAGGATTTTTGGGAGACTTTGGAAAGGTATAGGGTTTAGGGTTTAGGGTCTTGCAGCCATTGCCGAAGGACTAGCCTAAAGCCGAAACCTGCAGGCTTATCGGCTTATGTCGAGCCGCTGGTGATCTTGCTGATCCTTGCCATCAATGCGGCCTGGTTTGGAAACCGGAAACCTAGCCCTCAAACGCGTAATCCCGAACTCCTTGTTCGGATTTTGTGGCTTGCCGAGCTACAGACACGAGCGCTGAGAGTTTCCGAAGCTTTCATTCGAGGATGCCGCCCTAGCCTCGAACCTAAACATTATAGCTTGTAACTGAAAGTTTTAGACTCTAAACAACCTTAAACCCCAAGTTTCAAAGGGTACCTCGAACAACCCCAGTGCTTTCTGATGCCAGCAGACTTAAATTTGTTCAGAGGGGTTTCTGGGAAAACAAGGGCTGCCGTATCTCAGGGGTCAAGGTCCTACTATTCCATAATTGTTTCTTATTCTAACTCCCTGGCAGGTCTTGATTGTTGATTTCCGGAGCTCTTGCCTCAGGGCAATGGGACTCCCCGAAAGATCGTGAACACCAGCAGGCTTTCTGTAGATTGATGCAGGTCCCCCCCCGATTCCGAATTGCAAGCCTTCAGCTTTCCGTGTAACTGCGGCCACGGATATGTATGCTTATCATCCTCAGCCCTTATTTTGGTTTGAGAGGTTCTTTCCAAGGACAGATTATGCCAGACTCAGAGTGGACTTTTCCAGCAAACCTGTTCCAAGACTTCCCTTAAAGCCTTAAACCCTGAACCCGAGTCTAAAGCCCTTAAGAAACCAAAGAGCCTAAACCCCTAAGCCCGAAACCCCTAAACCCTTAAACCCTAAACCCTAAACCCTAGCCCGCCCTCCACTCCCTTCGGCCCTAATCAGCCTAAGCTCCATGCCTAAAGCCCTAAAAGTTCTCTGCCAGGCTTGCGTCGGCGTGTGGCAAGAATCGAACGCCGAAAAGGTCTGCTTGTGGGTTTGAGGGTTTCCAAGGCTGAGGATTTTTCCGGTGTTTTTTCAGTCTCTACGCTACCAAAAAAAACTAAGTACACCCTAACCTGTCGATGCTATCGCCCATGCTGCCCTGAAGTCTAAACTCCGTCGCTGTTATCGAGGGTGCGAAACTTCTGCAAAAAAGAAACAATGCTCCTCTTCTGAGGGTTTCTTGAAAACTAGGGGTACGGGGTAACCTTACGAAAGCAATCCCACGAGTTTGGATTTGTACTAGGTTCCCTCACATTCTGCGGCTCCCATCTGAATTCTGTTCCTCCTCCGGGAGCCTTATTTTGCATTACTTGTGCCTTACAGGTGAGCGCTCGGGCTCGCGCTTGCTCGATCTCGGTTTCCCCATAATGGACTACACTGTGCAGGGCCGTGCCCGGGTTAGAGCGGAAATCAGCAAAAAATCGGGCTTGTAAACCCTCAACCTGGCGTGAACTTTGCGGTCGAAAGGTTATGAGCAAACACCCCAACAGAAGTGCAGTGACCAGGCTCTCGACTCCCTCAAGAAGCAGCTTGGAGAAGCATTGTTGTGAAGGTGCTTCAGTACAGGTTCAGTACGTTCAGTACGGGAGGCGAATCACTTACTGGTTGGACTCAGAATACGGCTTCATATGTTTAGGGTTTCGGGAGAGTAGGAGTAGTGGAAGCTCACCTTACGGAAAAGTGCAGGTTGAGGGATTCAGTCTCTGTTGTTTAGGTCTTTGGCCCCAGGGGCCCAACCTCATAGCTTACCCTAAAACCCTGAACCCTCAACCCTAAACCCAAAAAAACCCTAAACTCCCTAAACTCCCTAAACCCCCAAACCCCTCAAACCCTAAACCCTCAACCGTAAACCCTAAACTCCTTGCAAGGATCTTCAGGTCTACAGCGGCTCCGGGTTTCCCATCCCTTTGAGGCATTTAATGGTCCAGTAGCTTTGGCTATGGGCCAGCATGACACTGAAACAAGGGTTTAGGGTTTTAGGGTTTAGGGTTTAGGGAAGTCGTCTAGGCACGCCTCAGCGCTTTAGCTACCCCAAGATCAGATGCAATCTCGAGCCTCTCGGATATCATGGCATAGGATGCAGAGCTCAGTAGCTGACATCCAAGGTCCCAGTCGACCTTCATATTCAATTCTGGTGTTTTTATACTGTCTCAGCGCAGAACCGCAGAGGCCATTTCAAGTAGGTAGAAAAAAGCTTCCGACGCTATTCCGTAGGGCTTCTTACGATATTCCTGATGAAAGATACCTCATAAACCCTACTCTAATTGCTGACTTCAGGCGCTTAAACGCCACCAGCTAGAATAGAAGCCTGACCCGGATATAGCTCTCCGGGACAAGCAGGTTCTAGGCATAAGGGCGCCAGGCCGGAGGTCGTGGACTTTCTCTCGATGCAGCAGCATTCCTATCACGCAGGCATTTGTGCTCCGTTTCAAGGCCGTCTACCCAGAGCCAAGAGGTGATTGCGCCCTAAGAACCCTGCCATGGTCGCACCGGTTGCTATGCGTGGCCTGTTCGCGTTTGGCTTGGTGGTCTCGGCCTACGCCGACTCAACCTTCAGCAAGGTGAAGGCTCGCCTGGGGTCTAGGGCTTAGGGTATTTTCCCATGAACAAGGTGCAGGGCTTACCTAAACCTTACGCCTAAACCCCCAGCCTAAACCGCACACATCAGTCATGAAGACCCCTTCAAGGGCTTTCCTGATTAAGATGGGTAGGTTAGGCAGGTTTGGGGATGCCCCTCAAAGGCCTTGTTGGATCTGAAGATTCGGGGCCCCGTGAGTGCCATCATGGTAAAGTGAGAGTGTCTCTTTTGCGGGCAGTCCCTGCTCTAGGTAGTGTCATAGCTTTGCCAGCAGTCGCAGAGAGTCTTCCTGCCACTGCAGCCGTGTTCACCCAGCACTGGTCCCGTACTCGGCAGCAGACACGACGCAGTCTTTTTAGTCCGTTGCCGAAAAGGTCCGGTCGGTTTCGCATCTGTAGCGGAAACACTAAGAAACGGAAACCGGACCAGACACAGACTGGAATTGGCCGGAAATCCACCTCTGAGAAGAAATTCCAAAGAGGGGAGACGGACAAAACAGAAGGCCAAGCAGGCGGAAGCAGGGGCGGGCGGAGCTGGCGGTACCGGAACCGGAAGCCGGCCACCGCCTAAGAGCCCCGCAGCTGCGGTTGCGGTGGCGGTTCCGTTGCGAGCTAGGTAAAGAAAACCCAATCAAAGCTCGGAATCGGAACGGCATTGTAGCTATGAGCAGCTTACGGTTACATTAGGGGAGCTTCGAAAAGAGACCCGGTGTGCGCGTGGCTTCCCGTGAGACCTATCATAATATGAAAAACAACCTTCGGGACCTTATAGAACGCTTTACAGGAACCTTGTAACCGCCATTTCTAATGATTCGGACCCGTCCCGTAAGCCCGAACACTTAATTATTGCAATAGTATGTAAGTAAGTAAGTATGTATGTATGTACCTATCTATGTATGTATGTATGCATGCATGCATGCATGTAGCTATGTATCTATGTATCTATGTATGTATGTGTACATACACACACACACATATATATATATATATTTATACATATGTGTGTATATACACATATATATATATATATGTCTGTGCGTATCTCTGTGTGTGTTTCAAGAATTCTACGTTTTGTCAATCCAACTTATGCATCTATAAGCTTGCAACATGAAGCAGAAGACCTCAGCTCGATCGATTCTGCCGGCTTTGGGAGGCGCAGCTCGAGGCCAACGTCACCCTGCGACTGGCCTGCCTATGCTGTTTGGGTTTTTGGGTTCACTCCTCGGAGTTTGCGGTTTGGGGGTAAAATTTAGGGATTTAGGGCTTCGAGTTTGGATCTGAAGAACGGCAAGCTTCAGCAAAGGTATCAAGAGCAGCAACAGCAGAAGCCCGCCGCAGACAACAGTAACAGCAGCAGTAACAAGAAGGGTGACAAGAGCAACGCGATGAACGGACAGCAGACAGCAAGAGCAACGACGACAGCAGATCAATGCCATCGCATGCGTAATAAGCATGAGCACGACCACTGCCGCCCCCTGTCACAAACGCCTCCATCATCTTCATCATGGTCAGACCAGCACCATCACCATCATCACCATATTCGTCTTCATCTTCATAACCTTCTTTTCTCTTCATCATACTCCTCATCATCATCACCACCACCACCATCATCATGATCATCATCGCCATCTTCATCATCATCGTCATCACCATCACCATCGTCATCACCATCGTCATAATCGTCATAGTAGTCAGCGTAGCCACTGAGCGCCCAAAGCCTTAAACGGGAATCAAGGGTGCGGACTTTCAGCCAATACCAACGCCCTAAGCCCCACTGCGTCAAGCCGAAGTAATCGCTCAAGAAGCTCGGGGTTTCAGAAAGCCTAACCTAGTCGTCGAGTAGATAGCTTTGAACCGTTTCGGGGCCCAGTAATCCCTACATCTGGGAGATGATAATACACCAAAAGCGTTCAAGGTTACCTACTCCACTACTAAGTTATGCTTTCTGAATGTAACCCCAAAGGCTAAGCTTTGCCGTAGGACACTCGGCAATTAATATAAAGGGCAGCCAAAACTCTCGAGCCCCTGAGCTTGGTCCCTGAAGCCCCCGGGTGGCTTATGCTTTGGAGGGTGGAGTCAGCAACCCGGGTTTAGGGGTTTAGTGTTTATTGCTTCCTGGGTTTAGGGTTAATAGGGCTTAGGGCTTAGGGTTTAGGGGTTTAGTGTTTAGGGCCTCCTGGGTGTATGCAGGGTTGGAGACACTAAGCCCTAACCTAGTCCTGCATCCACGGGCGCAAACCGCTTTTTGGAGCCCTCATCGAACTGCAGCAACCTCTTTGCGCCATAAAGCCTAAACTGAGCCTGGCTTGTCTGTGAGAGGCCTAAACCCTAAACCCTAAACCCTCAACCCTCAACCCTCAACCCTAAACCCTAAACCTAAACCTCAAAGTTCAGGAGCTCCAACGGCGCATGGCACATCGGTGGTTTCTGCTTCGGCCAGGGCACTGAGGAGTCGAGCAAAGCCGCCGAGATCAGGGCCCACGTGACGTGGGAACCCGGGCTCCGACGTATTTTGCAGCTGTGGGTTTGGGTTTAGGGTTGCTATCACAAGGGTTTTTGAGGGGTTTTAGGGTTTAGGATTGCTAGCATAAGGGTCTTTGAAGGTTTTTAGGGTTTAGGGTTGCTTATCATAAGGGTTTTTGAGGGTTTGACGGTTTAGGGTTACTGTTACTATCGTAAGGGTTTCTATAAGGCTGCTGTAAGGGCTCCTATCAGCTTGCCGTGAGTAAGGGTTCCGGTAACGTTACTTACCGGCACCCCTAGGGAGTCGGGCGGTTAGCGAAGTTGCTTGTGGTGACCGAGTCAGTGTGAGAGAGAGCCGGCTTGGCTCAGGGGGTTCCTGACTTGTAGGGGCCAAGGATGGTCAAGGTGCAATTAACGAATTAATTAGTTAATTATCTAACTAATTAACTAATCAAATTAATTCATGAATCAATTATTATAGGGGTCCCAGGACCAGGATTGCGGGTCTCGGGGCATCTGGAGTTTCAGGAGCTACTGTATGTCATGCTTGGACATTGGAGTAAAGCCGGGCAAGTCTCTTCGTGAGCGTCCGCGCGCGTACTCGACCTGCTAAACCCGAAACTTGCCCTCAAACCTTCAGCCCCCACCGTCACGACCTACACATCAAACATCTCAGTCCCTTAAACCCGACACCCCCGGAAACATAAGCTGTACCGAAGGAAGGCCAGCGAGGTTTGAATGAGATGGGGCCGGTGAAGCTCGTGGCTTTCGATGCCACGGAGCAGCGTTGGGGTACAGTGAAGGACACTTGGGGGAAGCTTGGGCATGCACGTCTGAGTACGACAGCAGGTGGTTTCTGCTTATATACCTTTGTATCTCAGGGCACACATATCTAAGCGCATGCAGAGGGGCCCTGAAATGAAGGAAAGAGGCCTGCGAGGACAAGATCGACTCCGCCAACATGGTGCGCCTACTCAACAAGACCAAGGTCAAGTTCAACTTCCGCATCAAGGTGCACCAGACTTTCGGCTGCAGGGCCTCGGGGCCAACACGATTTTGGGGGCAGTGTGAGTGCTGGGAGGTCTGGCAGTCACCGCTGTATTCCTTGTCATTCCTTGTCTGATTGCAACCGGCCCTGGTATTTTGTAGGCTTCTGCTGCTGTCTTGCGTCCTCCAGCGTGGGGCCAGATGGTAGAGCCTCCAAGGACCAGTGCCCCTCGCGACTGGCACTTCGCACTCCTGACATGTGGTGAGGTGGAGCGAGCACCTTTGGTGCTGACCTTGGAAGCGACGAAGGGCGCGATGAACATGTTCGCGGCGAACTCCAATTTCGACTCCTCCAGCTGTCCCGTCACGAATGCCTCTTGGTTCGTAGCCGCCAGTGACGATGCAGGGTTTTGGGTCCTCCTCGTGGGGGCTCTCTTGCTGGGGGCCTGCTCGGTTCTGTGCGTACTCGTGTGCCGGCAATTTCGTGGCAAAGGGAAGGAGGAGGCGAGCAGCCTCCAACTTCCTCCTCCGGCAGTCAGTGGTGCGGAACCCGTCATCGGCAGGCCTTGTACGGCGGTTGGTGAGGAGCTTCTACGTAAAGCAACTGTTTTTTGCTAAGCCTCTCCGAAGCCATTTCATGTCGTCGTACTGTGCTGAGTGCTGCATCGCTGCAGGAGAAGATTGTGGACGGCCAGATCAGAGCCAACCCGCAGCTAAGTGAGGCAGCCACTGCCAACAGCTCTGAGATGGCATCTCCAGAGAGCGATGTCTAGTTTGAAGAATCTGACATTGCAACCTTTCTCATATGCATCTGGGACCCTCAGAGAGGGCCATGATCCCGGTGCAGTCAGGTAATATAGGGGCCTCATCATCTGATTATCAGGGGGCATCAGGGGCGCTAAGGGAATATCAGTAAGGATTCCGACCCCTATATTACAGTATTAGGAACTCGAGCTCCTGTGCACAGGGTCTAAGGTGGTGAAGGATCTTCGCCACCCTCGACGTAGATCGTCCGGCATTGGTGTGGCTCAGCTTCTTAACTTTGTGGTACAGTGAACCGTAGTCGTATCCTCCAAGCACTATCGACAAGCAGCAACTTGTTTTTTCTCTTATTTCGGAGCTGCTGGCCGGGTCCAAGTACGCGGTGTGAACCGCAGTGTTTTTTCACTTTCAATAAGTACCCCTCTGCTGCATCCCGTGCTTTCCTTTAGAGCACGGCAATTGCAGAGGGTGCAATTTTCGTGCGTTCCAGACGGTGGTTGTGCTCGTGTTTCTCCCTTCGTTTGTGAAGTTGCGGAGGCCACCAGCCTGTACCGTGGTCCATGGCTATGGTTCTGGGTTGCTTTGAAGCACCTGGAGTTGCATGCCGACCAAACCGTAAACCCGTGCCTTAGGTTAGGTCTCTTGGCGTCGAAAAAGATCGTTCTTTGGCACGGGCTGTTTTGTGAGCTCTTCATACTGATGCCTGTTCATGGTTTTGGTTTCTACTTTTCATTCGTCGTTGTAGAAGTGCGGTATTGGGCGTAATCTTTCTGCATGTCTCAGAAAGATTGCCTCAAATCTTACGGCCATGAAGAACGACTACAGGAGCTTCAATGGCACGCAGCGCTGTAGACTGTATCATATCTTTGCACTTCCCAAGGGAAACACTCCTTCGCCCCCACGCCGAAACTCGGGGCTTTCTCTTGCAAACCAGAGAGCCCTTGGTTTAGGACCTTAGGATCCTGTACGCTACTAAGGGGTCAGGGCCTTCAGGGGGGCTTTCCGGTTCTTTTTTTTTTTTTTGGGGGGGGGGGGGGGGAGGGGGNNCGGTTCGAGGGTTTTTGAGGTTTAGGTAAGGATCCCAGCGTTGTAAATCCAAATTGGCCACCCCAAGCGACAACCTGGACAGCCACGCAGAGCGGAGATAAGGCGACTGTCGTTCAGAAGGGTCGCAGGCAGGTCACACCACTGCTCAACCCACGAAGGAGTTGTGGCCATTACTTGATGGTGGCTTCCTTCCGAGAGTGGCAGCACCTTGTACCGCCACCCTGCCTCAACCCACAAACGTGAACCGAATCACTGAACCCGGAAGCTTGGCTTGAAGGTAGGACAGCCCCTGTCTGCCACCTCTTGGCAGCATTCAACAAGCCATCCTCCGTCTCGTCGTCATGCGTGGCCTTTGCACCGTCCTCTTGGTGGCCTCAGCCTGCGCCGACTCGACCTTCACGAAGGTCAAGGCGCAAGGGTGCAGAGAGTCAAAACCAGAAGATGTTGGTGGCTCGTCCGTCCGCTAGGCCGCTAGTGAGAGCATTGAATACTCGTACAGGGCATAGCGCGTGCAATGTAAGCAGGTCTCTGAAAGCCACCCAACACTTCCTGGCTTCCTCAGAGCAG